TTTTCTTTGACTGGGATGAGGTAACTTGTTGGATACCCCAAATTAAATAGAGAGGGAAGATGGGTGGGGGGAGACTGTGACTTCACCTTACCTACTGGGTTTCAGCTTTGAATTCTCATCTTTCTCTAAATTTTTACTCCTATCTTATCATTTTCTTTTCTCCTGCCATGGTGCCAGGAGCATATCAGAGACTAGGATTGGCAAGAGGGAGAGAGGTAAGTAGAGTAGACCTCTGAAAATGGAGGTCTGTGTCTCTGGTCTATTTTACTTCATTAAGTGAACCAGAGAAGGGTACATATTCACAAGTCAGATAGGAGACAGAAAGTGCTGGCCTATGAAGAAAAGTGGAGTGGAGTAGTTTCCAAGTAGGACAAAGGAAGAAAGGTGAAGAAGAGAAGAAAAGTAAAATGTTCAGATTTATATTCCCCAAGTTCAGCCCTGGTAAGTACAGGAGCAGATAAACTATGGGGGAAAGGAAAGAAGTGCTTTGGCATGAGGTTTCTCTGCTGGAGACCAGCTGTGAAAAGAAGATAAAGGATAGAAAGACTGGCACATTGTTGTTTGTCCAAGCTTGCAAGTTTTTCAGGCCATTAAAATTGGGTTCTAGGCAGAATTCTCTCCCTTCAGTCCTCTACAAAATGAACAGATGTGACCCCCTCCACCAACAGTCAAAACATTATCAAAATAAACAAAAATGCCTAAAGGCTCCTGAAGTAATTAAACACTTTGAAGAAATATGTCCTATCTATGTCCCTGGCTTCCAGAAGCTTTCCCCACGCTTACCTATATTAGGTATTTCTTCTGGAAATAAATAGAACAGATCTTCCTGAGCCCAGTTGATAAACCTCTTTTTCCACCCAACTAAGATATCTTCAGAGGCTTAGGGTGTAGCTCAGTGGTAAAGCACTTGCATAGCATGCATAAGGCCCTCAGATTGGATCCCCTAAACCAGAAAAAAACAAACTAAACCAAAATACCAACAACAACCAAAACTTCACCAAATACCTCAGCTCAGCCCTATGATATAGTCTCTATATTCATCCCCAAAAAATATGTGGGGCCAGGTATATTGATGCATGCTCAGGAAACTGAGGCAGGAGGATTGAAATTGGAGATAGCCTGGGCAACATAATCAGACCCTGCCTCAAAATATTTTTTAAAAAGGGCTGGAGAAGATTGTTCAAACAAAAACTAAATAAAAAAACTATAAAACTGAATAATACAATTAATAATTTAGACTTTGAACAGGCATATATAGAAATTTTCATCCATCAACAAGCAAATATACTTTCTTCTCAGTAGCATGTGGCTCTTCTCTAAAACAGACCATATCACATGCCACAAAACAAATCTTAATAAATACAAAAAAAAACGGTGATGATACCATGCATTCTATCAAATCACAATGGAATAAAATTAGAAATAAATGATAAAATAAAAAATAGAAGCTACTGTAACAAATGCAGACAAAATAATACATAATTGAATGATGAATGGATAGTAGAAGAAATTAAGAATGAAATAAAAGAAAATTCTTAGAGGTAAATAAGAACACTAATACAATATATCAAAATCTCTGGGACACTATGAAGGCAGTACTAAGAGGAAAGTTTATTGCTTTGAGTGCATTCATTAAAAGAATAAAAAGCCAACAAATAAATGACCTAAAACTACATCTCAAAGTCCTAGAAAAAGAACAAATCAACACCTAAAGCAGTAGAAGACAGTAAATAATTAATATCAGAGCTGAAATCAATGAAATTGAAACAACTGAAAAAACTGACAAAACAAAAAAGTTGGTTCTTTGAAAAAATAGATAAACCCCTCATCATACTAACGAAGAGAAAAAGAGAGAAAACTCAAATTACTAAAATACAAAATGAAGAAGGAAATATCACAATGGACATGTCTGAAGTACAGAAGCTAATCAGAAACTATTTTGAAAAAATTTTTACTCCAATGAATTTTTCTAGAGACATATGATCTACCCAAACTGAATGAGGAAGTCATACAAGATTTAAACAGATCAATTTCAAGTAATGAAATAGAAAATGCCATCAAAAGCCTACTAATCAAGAAAAGCCCATACCAAATGGATTCTCAGCCAAGTTCTATAAGACTGCCAAAGAAGAATTAACATCAATACTCCTCAAAATATTCCATGAAATGGAAGGAGGGAACCTTTCTAAACTCATTCTAACAGAGGAAAAAGTAGGCCCAAATCTTCATCACATCAGATTAGGCCCCAAATTCCTTAACAAGACTCCTAAAGCACTAGAAACAAAATCAAGAATCAATAAATGGGATGGATTCGAACTAAAAAGGTTCTTCTCAGGAAAAGAAAGAATCAATGAGGTGAAGAGAGAGACTACATTTTGGGAGCAAATTTTTGCCACACATGTCAGATAAAGATATATAAAGAACTCAAAAACTTAACACCAAAAAAACAAAYAACCCAATCAATAAATGGGCTAAGGAGCTGAACAGATACTTCTCAGAAGATGATATGCAATCAATCAACAAACATGAAAAAATGTTCAATTTCTCTAACAATTAGAGAAATGCAAATCATAACTACTCTAAGATTTCATCTCACTCCAGTCAGAATGGCAATCATCAAGAATATAGAGCAGGGGCTGGGGATGTGGCTCAAGCAGTAGCGCGCTCACCTGGCACGCGTGCCGCCCAGGTTCGATCCTCAGCACCACATACCAACAAAGATGTTGTGTCTGCCAAAAACTAAAAAATAAATATCAAAATTCTCTCTCTCTCTCTCTCCCTTCCTCTCTCCTTTCTCTCTCTCTTTAAAAAAAAAAAAGAATATAGAGCACTTGCCTAGCATGGGTGAGGCACTGGGTTCGATCCTCAGCATCACATAAAAAAATAAATAAGTAAAATAAAGCTTTAAAAAAAAAGAATACAGGCAACAAGGGCTGGGACTGGGGCTCAGTGGTAGCATACTTGCCTGGCATGTGTGAGGCACTGGGTTTGACTTCAGCACCGCATATAAATAAACAAAATAAAGGTATATCAACAACTAAAAATATATATATTAAAATAAGAATACAGGCAACAATAACAAGGATGTGGAGAAAAAGGTGTACTCATACATTGCTGGTGGGACTACAAACTGGTGCAACCACTATGGAAAGCAGTATGAAGAGTCCTCAGAAACTCGGAATAGAACCACCATTTGACCCAGCTATCCCACTTCCTGGTTTATACCCAAAGGACTTAAAATCAGCATACCACAGTAACACAGCCACACTAATGTTTATAACAGCTCAATTCACAATAATTAAGCTGTGGAACCAAATAGCAAAACTATCAATTGATAAATGGATAAAAAAATGTGATATATATATATATATATATATATATATATATATATATATATATATATATATCTCAGCTTTAAAGAAGAATGAACCGGGCATGGAACCTTATGTCTGTAATCCCAGTGGCTCAGGAGGCTGAGACAGGAGGATCATGAGCTCAATCCAGCCTCAGCAAAAGAGAGGCACTAAGCAACTCAGTAAGACTCTATCTCTAAATAAAGTACAAAATAGGGCTGGGGATATGACTCAGTGGTTGAGTGTCCTTCAGTTCAACCCCTGGTACACCTTGCTCCCCAAAAAAGAAGAATGAAATTATGACATTTGCTAGTAAATGGATGGAGCTGGAGAATATCACACTAAGCAAAATAAGCCAATCCTAAAAAAACAAAGGACGAATGTTTTCTCTAATATGTGGATGCTAATTCCCAATAAGGGGGTGGGTGCTAGGGAAGAACTGAGTTACCTTAGATTAGGTAGAGAGGAGTGAAGGGAGAGGAAAGGAGGGGATATGGGGATAAGAAAAATAGTAGAATTTATTACCTTATGTACATACATATATGACTGCATGACCAATGTGATTCTATAACATGTACCCTCAGAAAAATGAAAAATTATACCCCATCTATGCATGATACATCAAAATGCATAAATGCATTCTACTGTCATATATAACTAATTAAAAGAAATTTTTAAAAAGGGATTGGGATATAGTTCAGTAGCAGGGTACTCCTGGGTTCAATTCACAGTACTACAAAAAGAAATGTAGGAAGCTCAGAGCATATGTGGTTTCTAAAATAAACCATGTATAATGGAATTCATAATTTTACTTAATGTAACATTTATTGTAGGTACTACTAACCAACTGATATGGAATTATAGTATTTTGATATTTTAACCAGTGGTATAATCTCACAGGTATGTATTTACTGATGATTAGCCCTGGGAGGTTACTGTGTACTATGCTGATTCTGAAAATGGCACAGGACTCCATGAGGCTATACACTTCCAATCAGAGCTGGATATCATTGTGTAACATTCTATAAGAAGAATATATTCTTAAAAAGAACATAAAGCACCATATGAAAAGAGTTTTAAAGGAGTAAAATCTGAAAAAATTAACTATAAATATAAAATGTTCTGTATATTCATAAAATAATATGTAAAATAGCATCTACCAGCTGGGCTTGGTGGCACATGCATATATTCCAAGCTACTCCCAAGGCTGAGGCAGGGGATGTGGTTCCCTCAACTGAGCCCAGGAGTTTGAGATGAGCCTGGGCAGCACAGTAAGACCCCAACCCTCCTTCAAAGGCAAAAAAAAAATATGTAAAATGACATCTACCATATTAAGCACAAAAATTCCATTGAGAGAACGGGTTATAGCTCAGTGGTAGAACACTTACCTTGCATGCATGAGGCCCTGGGTTTGGTCCTCAGCACCACATAAAAATAAATAAGTAAGAATAAAGATATTGTGTCCATCTACAACTAAAAAAAATTTAAAAACACATTGAACAGTAAAATTTTATTATAAATCCTAAATGTTCATTAGCAGAATGAACCAAAATTGAAATTCCCTGTGTTTTTCTGTTGTATGGTCCCAGAGATATTTAACATTTGCAGAATACAATATTTACTCTGCAAACAAAATCATTCAAGTACCTTATAATGTCCATTTATCACAGCATCATGTAGAGGAGTGATCTGGTTCATTCCTTTGATATTTACATCTGCTCCACTTTTTAATAGTTCACTTGCTGTGCGATAAAATCCTTTTAAACTAGCTTCATGAAGTGCTGTCCAACCTGTTATACAAAAAATAAATGACATTTGTTTATATTTGACATCTTAATAATGTTTTGTGCTTGCGCTTAAAAATACTAATTTTTTTAAAAAATATTTTGACTATATGAGACAATATAACATCACCATGAAAGCACCCTGTATTATATAGTGGATTCAATAAATCTGAGGGACAAATCAAACTCCTCTCTCTCAACTCTGTTGTGGAAAAATATGAAAAAAAGTCAAGTATTTTAAAGTATTCTTATATACCCAAAGCACCACTCAGACTGGCCCAGTGCTATTCAGTTTGTTAAGTACCTATGTATCTTTACTCACTCATCTCCAGAAGAACACATCATATTCTCCCCATAAGGAAGACTACACTAGACACCCAGCCTTACATAAAGACTGCTGTTTTCTGAACAACCTATCCGAACCTCTTTACCTCTATATTCTATTCTCTCCATCTCCCTGGTCATCATTATTCCTGCTGTATATCTACCATTTTGTCACAAATCTCCCCTTAACCCCCAGATAAGGGTACCTTCAGTTTCTTCCTGCTTTTGACCACATTTCTCCTCCAAAGTTGAGCCCATAGTGACAATGACCACGCAAAACCAGACTCAGGGACCATCCTTCTTTCTGTATAATGGCACTGTAGATGGACACCTGCCACAATCTTTGAAGAAATATAATGCTCTTTTTCTGCCATTCACCCTCCTCACCTTACCCTCTTCCCTGAAGATAATGGCAAAGAGCTTCTTAAGCAAGAAAATTACAAGAAAGCTTTAGGACTTGCCTTAGGCCCACTCTGCTATACTTTCATGGCAGTGATTCTGCTAAACCTACAAACCATTATCAGGAAAACTTGAGGAGGTAACCCTAACTTACCAGCATAACTTGGCTGATTAACATTTGCACCTTTTTTAATACAAAGATGTATGAGATCAGCATCATTGTGCAGAGCAGCCTTATACAATAAGTTCTCTCCAAAAATGTTTTTCCGGTTTATGTTAGAAAGACGTAGTTTATTCATCTTCATTTTTTCTGAAATGAGGGGATGAACAAAAGAGAAATAACTCCTTATTTGAAAACCAGGAGAAACAAGCAACTGGTTGATTCCACTAAACACTCTGGAAGTGTGGAATATTATGTTATGAAACAGTATTTCATCTGTTAATCCTAACATGGTTGGAGTTGAATCTAAGCTCTACATACAAAAAAGGAAAAAATGACAAATGTTATTAGTTTTAAAATACTTTCAGTAAATTAAAAATCCTGATAAGCAGTGTATATTAATTAAAACTCTCATGAGAAGTACATATTGAGAAGACTAACCAATTATTTTCTTAAAAGTTCTCATAAAAATAGCCGGATGTGGTGGCACATGCCTGTAATCCTAGCAACATGGAAGGCTAGGACAGAAGGATTGTGAGTTCAAAGCCAGCCTCAGCAACTTGGCGAGGCACTAAGCAACTCAGCGAGACCCTGTCTCTAAATAAAATACAAAAAAAGTGTGTGCTCCAGTGGTTAAATGCCCCTGGGTTCAATCCCCTACACACACACACACACACACACACACACACACACACACACACACAAAAAAAAAATCTCATAAAAATAATTATTTAAATTCTAGAATTAAGTATCATCTGCCATGGTTTGGATCTTGAATGTCCTTCAAAGGCCCATATGTTAGAGTAGTGTCCTAGGGTGGTACTACTGGGAGGCTGGTGGACTTTTTAAAAGGTGGGCCCTGATAGTCACTGGGGCATGCTCTCTTAAGGGGATAGTGGAACCCCCATCCCTTCCTTTTCTTCTCTTTTGTTTCTTGCTCATGATGTAAGCAGTTCTGCCCCACCATGTGCTCCTGCCATGATGTGCTGCCCACCACAGGTCCAAAGCAACAAGACCAACCAATAGTGGACAAAAACCTCAAAACTGTGAACCAAAATAAACCTTTTCTCATTAGAAGTCAATTATCTCAGGTATTTATTGCAGTGACAGAACTAACACATTATCAAAYTTTATAAAGTGTTAGAATATCTAATAAAATCATGATAAGACAATCACAGAGGTACAAAAACTAATCCCAATTAGACCAGAAAAGGGAATGCTAAATTTTCTTTGCTAAAAGTATCTGTCATGAAATTAAATAAAGAATTATGGCAATAGTTTATTTCCTAAGCCAGGAAATGCACAATTAGAATAATTTTCCAGATGATACATACCAAGTATCAATTCTCAATTGTGCCTCCTAAAATGCTGAAACTCCTCATTTAGATAATCCAAATTCTGTCAATATGGGGAGGAGGGATGCTATCCTAAATTTCAGGATAGTTTTGATAATACTTTTTCCAAGCTGGATCTAGCTAACCAGATCCATTTTAAAATCTCATAAAGCTAACTGAGTACTACAGCAACATTCTTAATGGACTGCAGTTTAACTTCCTTGCTTTTTATTGAACTCACTTCATTTAGTTTTACTGTAAAACAAACCTAACTGCTGAATATTTAACCCTACTTTCCTATTCCTCAGAGTACAAAGCATTCTCCCATCAGATAATCTATATGCTTACCAAGAAACTGTGGTGCTTACTCCAAAATCTGTTTGCACCAGTTGCACTTCTCTTCTATTATAATTATGTAATTTATTAAAAATAACAAATTAAGAATAATTTTTTCAATGAAAACTAAGTTATGGAAGACATTTATTCCCAGTCATGACTAAATAACTGTTGTGAATTACCCTGCCAGGAYCAACAACTTGAAGGCCTACAAAATACATGGGGAGACCTATTTTCAAGCATTAGAAAACAGGCAGTTCAGATTTATGACCCTCTGAAAGGAAATAAACAAGGTGATCCCTAAGATTACCCTGGCTTCTTGTTTGGATAAACTTTCCAGAATACAGTACAAGTGGGATAGGAAGAGCAGAGTAAGGTGATCCTGCTCATGAGGAGACAGAGTTAGAGAATGGGGAGGCTAAGGGGGTTAGAATTTGTAAGGTAGGGCACAGAAATGAGAGAATAGAGGAAAGGCCACACAACTCATAAAGTTGCTCTTTGAGTTATTATCTGTATGATAAACTGCTCATGTATAAAGGTGAGTCTTCCTGAAGTTGGGCAAGAATAACTACTGAAAAGCCATAACAACTATCAGAGCTCATGTAAGGTTGGGAGACATTCACAATCCCACCATCCTAATTAGAGACACTCTACAGACCAACCAGGGCATTTAAAAGAGACGATTCCTCCCCCCCCCCCCACTCACCCAAAGGGCCATGTCTCAGTCAACAGGGCTAAACTAGTCCTAAAATGAGGATACATTACATCTGCATGAGGGTTTTTTTTTTAGGCATTAAAATAATTAAGTTAATCTTCAAGTAACCGGATTACCAGCTAAAACAAAATCCAATACCATCTTAAAAAATACATTCAATAACATTTTGTTGCATATTCAATTATTCTCCATTACATTCATTGCCCTTGTGCCTCTGTCAAAACCCAGTTGTCAATAAATACATGGTTTTATTTCTGAACTTTTTGTTCCATTAACCTATTTCCCTATTTTGATACCAATGTCATGCTGATTTGATTATCACAGCTATACAATAATGCTTGAAAACAGGTAATTTTGCCTTCCAACTTTGTTCTTTTTCAGTTATTTTGCTACTCAAGGTCCTTTACATTTCTAAATGAATAGTTCATGACTTTCTACAAAAAAAAAATTCAGGAGGCATTTTGATTGGGATTTCTTATGGTTTGGATGTGAGGTGTCCCCCCAAAAGCTCATGTGTAAGACAGCACAAGAAGGTTCGGAAGAGAAATGATTTACTATAAGAGTCTTAACCCAATCAGTGATTTAATCCCATGATAGGGATTAACTGAGTGGTAACTGAAGTGGTAGGGTGTGGCTAGAGGAGGTGGGAATTGGGCTGTGGCTCTGGGTATATATTTGTGTCTGACAAGTGGAGACCTCTCTCTGCTTCCTGTTGGTCATGTGACCTGCTTCCCTCTGCCACAATGTTCAGCCTCACCAGGAACCCCCAAGGATCTTGAGTCCTGAGAAATGGAGCCACCCTTCCATGGACTAAGACCTCAGAAACTGTGAGCCCTAAAATAAAAATTTTCTCCCCTAAAATTGTTCTGGTCAGATCCTTTAGTCACAGCAGCAAAAATCGATAAGACAGGATTCTATGCACTCCATAAATAAACCTGAGTAAAGAGATAGCTTAGCAATATTGAATATTGAATATTGTGACTGAAGAACAAGATATTTGTCTGCAACAAATTTTCTTTGATTTTTCTAGGTGATATTTTATAAGTTTCAGTGTACCTATCATTTATATCTTTTATAAAATTTATTCCTATTTTACATTTTTTACTTTATACTCCTGGTTTTCAAATTTTACATTATAGTTTTTTATTGCTAGAATATAGAAAATAATTGATATTTGTAGATCTTGAATCCTACAACTTTGCTAAGCTAAATTATAATAGTTTATAATTTATAAATATGTTTCATTAGATTTTCTGCATAGATGATTATGCTGTTTGTGAATAAAGACAGCTTTAATTCTTCCTTTCCAAACTGGATGCCTTTTCTTTTTCTTTCTGATTAAACTGGCTACAACTTTCAGTATAATATTACACAAAAGTGGTAAGAATAGATATACCTGCCTGTCTTATTTCTGATCTTAGGGAAAGAATTTAGTCTTTCACTATTAAATATAAATTATTTTCTGGAGACAGCTTTTGTTAGGTTGGAAAAATTCCCTGTGCTCCTAACTTACTAAGAGTCTTCACTAGAAAAGAATTTTTGATGTTGTCAAATGTTTTCTCTGCCTTGTATAGTTTTTTGWTTTTTAGCTTAATATAATAAATCATAGTGAGTGGTTTTCAAACATAAAACCAATGCTGCATTCCTGGGATAAACACCATTTGGTGATGTGTTATATTATATTGGATTTAATCAAATTTTGTTTAGAATTTTTGCAACTACATTCACGAAGGATATTAGTCTATAGGTCTCTGGTTTTATAATACCTTTGATTTTGGTGTCAGTTTCATAGTGGCCTCAAATATGAGTTGGGAAGTATTTCCTTTTGGTTGTAGTGGGAGAGTTTGTTTAGAACTCCCTTAAATGTTTGGCATAACACTGAAAGTGTTAACAAACTGAACTGTGCCTTCTCCAAATTCATAGGCTAAAGTCCTAATTGGATAAGTTTGGATTCAAGAGTGTGTGTGTGTGTGTGTGTGTGTGTGTGTGTGTGTGTGTAATACATTTTTTTCTGTGAACTGCTTATTCATTTCCTTTACATATTTTCTTGTTCTTTTTCCTTTTGTTATCAGCTTTTATTATCAATATTTTGATATACAAAAAGCTGCATTTAATGTATACAACTCAATGAGTTGAGAGATAAGTATATATGCATGAAATCACCACCACCATCAAGGCTCATTGACATATCCATCATGTTCTTTGGCCTCATAAAAACTTTTGCATGCACATCCTGGAGCTGGAGGGCGCCGCAGCAAATGGGACCAACCTGCTCCAGCCCCACTTCTCTTCCTCCCACCGGCGGCCCCAGGTGGTGAGGTCTCTAGCAGTGGGGGAAGTCCTGGGGGTGCCACAGCTGCTCCCTCAGGAGCCTTGTTGCTGCTGCTGCTGTGGCTGCCAAGATCAATGCCATGCTCATGGCCAAAGGGAAGCTGAAACCAACACAGAATGCTGCTGAGAAG